TGACTATACGAAAGTTCAAGCCCCCCTTTAACTGTATTCAAAAACAAATTTTTCTTGCCTTAAACCTTCGTAATTGTCATTTCATTTTAATGCCAAAGGAGGTGAAAAAGTGCATTATTCCTCCTCGTTACACGTATATTTTCCAAATCTTGTATAGTTTTCATTTGTTTTACCTCACCCTATTTTCATCCTTCATATACAATGAGGAGTGAGAAGAGGAGCATACGCTGGCTGGATTAACGAAAAGAACCCAGAGGAAGATTTGGATTTCGCCGCCGATGACTTATGGAAGATATCATACAGATAAAAGAGGGGCGAAAATATTCTCACACAAACTTGAAGATCTACAGGCGAAAACTAACAAGTTCACAGAAGAGGTGAAGTCAGGCAGCAAAGGAAGACCGGACGTCAAGTGAATATAGAGAAGACAGAGGTAATGAAGATACCCAACCAACACCACCAACACCAACAACAACTACAACAAGCTCGAATCACCATCAATGGGAGAAACATAAAGCAAGTAGTCTCTTTCACCTACACCCACCTAGACAGGCAGCATCGTTTCAACTACAGGTGCAACTGCCACAGACAACCACCTCAAAGCCAGCCACGATCAGAAAAACAGCAAGACAGGCATTCATTAATCTGAAACCAGTGTGCAGATCTTCTGCACTCCACTCAGCATTAAGCGTCAACAACATTCCGATTTTCAACACCAACGTCAGTCAAGTCAATGCTTCTGTATGCCTCAGAGACTTGGCGCGTTACAAAACTCATTCCCAACAGACTACACAAATTCATCAACAACTGCCGCCTACACTCACTCGATACTCAAGATCAGATGGCCAGAATAATGACAATCAGTAACAAGAAACTGGCTGGCTGGCTGGCTGGCAACGAACCAACCAACCAACAACCTATCACTCAACAAATATGAACTGGAAGGAAGTGGAGATGGATTGGATTGGGCATACACTGAGAAGTCCAACTGGGGACATCACGTGCCAGGTTAGGCACTCGAGTGGAATGCAAATGGGAATGGCGAGTTGGGCGTCCCAGTTGAGGGTGACATGGAGGAGATCGTGTGAGGAAGGAATGAGAGGTTGTGGGCAGTCGTGGAGCCAGGTTGAAAAGTTTGCAGAGAACAGAGGCGTGCTACTGAACCACTATGTTCCACTAGGAACCCAAGGGAATAATAATAATAATATACTAAAATGCCTTAGTAAGTCAATGTGTGATCAGATTGTTCGAAATGTACTGAGCGAATACACTACACATTTCTCAAATAACCTCCGTCTTCTTTATTACACTACGTAAATTCATCGAAGGAACTAATTAAGGATGGATCGTGGCTAGCAGTGGAATCCAGGATGCGCATTTCCTCCGATTTGGGACTCGTCGGCTGGATGTACCTGCTTCCCAGTGAGTGATGTTGTTCCCACTGGGAAGCAGGTACATCCAGCCGACGAGTCCCAAATCGGACGAAATGCGCATCCTGGATTCTACTGCTAGCCACCATCCATCATTAACATAATCAGATTGTTGGCAATATTGAGGCACCCGCAAAGGAGCCTATATGCTAATAGAGACTGATCAATTCGGTCCAAGCAACGACGGTATCATATAAAAACGCTTATACTAAAGGAACTAATTGTTTCAAATTGCCTTTCTATCAGAAGAATACTTAAAATAGTTTTGTGTTATAGACGTTAAAATTGAAATGTTATATCCATTGATAAGAATCTATTGACTGCTTGTTAGTTAACCTTCACATAATACTTTTGATCTAATAGTTGTTGTCTGAAAGTCAGATCACAACTATTTTATCATGATCATATTTATGTATTTAGATGATAACTATTTCATTTTGTTAATGTTCTGCAATCTTGACAATATTGGAATATGTACATGGTTAAATCAATCAGTAATTCAGTCTTTTGATATTATTTCACATAAGTCTTAGAATAATCCCAGTGAGTTAACCATATCGAATTGTATGGCAAAATGTTCATTTCAATTACTCAGACTAGTGTATGCAGCTAACCCGATTGTTTTAGTATATACACAAGTACTAGATACAACAACTTGATTGATGAGAAATTTATGTCTTCCCACAGGACTCAAAGTAAAAAGTCCTTGGGCTAACGGATCAGCTTTGATGGGTTACAGATCAATAAAATCTCGCAAAGATACGAAAAGCTAGGTCGGTTTTTGCTAACATACGCATTTTGTGGTACCGATGTGGTGCGCTACAGTTCGCCAGTTCTAATGTATAACTGTGAAGCATAGTTATTGAAAGCGAAGGGCAACAAAGGATTCAGGTTTTTTACCACCGATGGTCTTAGTAGCATAGGCCGTAACCTACTGCCACCATGGCTGGAAATCGGTCATAGTGGTGCAGATGTATTCACGCTTTGACGTCTCTCAAAGCTTGAATATTTTCACAAATCTTTATTTTCGAACTCCATATTCTCCCATACACCTCTATCCACTTTGCTAATGCTTTCAAACCAAATGTTCTTTGGACAATACTGTGAAGTGTGGCAAGCTGGACCGAAGCATTTGTGTACGAGGTTATACATTGATTTTGTTCGTCTGCTGCCACCAGGTCAGTAATGTAGAAATCGGGTGTAGAGTTCTAGGTAACCCTTTATCTACTCAGATGGTTGGGGCACGTACTACACATGACTGATTATTATGTATCTTAATAGACAAACTTAGCTTAACTAGGGTAAGGTAGGAACGTTGAGGAAAGCCACAATAAAACGTGGCATCATTCATCCAAGTTCTCGTCTGTTGGTCTGAGCCATATATGTAAGTGAAGACTTCCTGGTTGGGGTCAGAGTGTGACAAAACTGAAGTCGCTGGCTAAAGACTCTACGTGATGTCTCAAAACCAATCTCAGTGGTGCAAATACACTCACATCCTGTCTTTATCTTAATGATTACATAAGGTTTCCCCTATTACATTACACACTCTTCCTCTCTTTTAATGACTTTCTACTACGCTCGATTACTTTCTTCTTCACTCCTATACCTTGAACTTCAATGTCTTTTAACTTAATGTGCTACTGTGAAGGGTGGCAACTTCGACCGTTACACAGCAATTCCAAGTTCAATGTTGATATTGACCGACTAGACTATCGGTTTGCTGCTAGTTCTGATATAACAACAATTAACATTGTAGTGAGATTCATTTTAACAGAGCTAAATTGTCGAATATGACTAAATCTGGTTTGCACATAATGAACTGGCCAAGCCTAACATGATTTATTCAACTGCCAGTACAGATTGTTCAGCTTTTTACAGGAAATCTAGTAAACACATCTTTGTCACAATATTCACAGGAGAAAACGCGTTAACAGGATGAATTTTTCTACGCCATTCAATGTCTGCACAGCATCAATGTTACAATGGTATATAGTATTTAATGAGAGAATGTATAATTCAGCAAAAATAAGAGCTATACTTGGTATTGTTATGTTTACCGGGCTGCACTCTGGAATTATCTGTTAGACAGGGGAGTGCCTGAGAAATTTATTAACATCCTGAAAGCTTTTCATAACACAACTACAGGTCGAGTGAGTCATTATTTTGCCATCGATGATATTCTTGAGATAGCACAGAAGGAGATGCGTCATAGTGGTGTAGATCTTCCATCCGGACAACTGCTATTCAACCTTGAATATGTAGACCATATCACCTTAATGTGCGATAACATACACGTTATTCAAATCGCACTTAAGCAGTTAGCGATTAGTGTCTGTTAGTATGGTATATAATTTGCACCATCAAAATGCAAAACTTCGAGTATCTGGGTAGCTATGCGAGTGATGGTAGAGGTGTGAATAAGGAAGTTTCTTACCGCATATCTAAAGCCACAGTAGAATACATCAATCTGAGACACCGTTTGCACCATCGCCATGTTAGTCTTACCATAAAAGATCGGGTTTACAACGTTTCGTTGAAGCCTGGTCTCTCTGAGCAGAAGATGTCCAACAACTCTCTGTGTTCGATCATTATTGTCTCCGTAGGATTGCTCACATCCCGTCGCAAAACTATATAAGTAATCCTAAGTACGACAGTGTGTGTGTGTGTGTGTGTGTGTGTGTGTGTGCGTTTGAGCATAACAGAGATGGTCATCCAATAAGTGAAGTTATATGGAAACACTGACTTCTATGACTTTGACAAGTGTTACACCTGTCACCCCAAAGGCTTCCGTACTGTTTATTGTTCGCTAACCCTGAGACTGGATGCAAGAAACGAAATGGTGGTCGGTGTATGACGTGGTGCCGTGAGATCAAGGATAGTTGTATTGGGTTAGCATTTGTTAGCGCATCACGACTTCATGTAACTCACTACCTCAGAATCGAAACCACTGCCAGTCATGCTGTAGCTCCCTTTTATCTTCTGCTGTTGAAAAGTAATCAATTTCTTATTTCAAACCTGTCTTACTGGACTCCCCTTCTAATCGTGCTAATCTTATTGTTTCTCTTTCCTACCTATCCACTTCCCTTCGCTTTATGTCGTTAAAGGAGGGTTATATTACTTTGTGTGGCACATTTCTTCTTGCCCTTGTTGTACCAAATTTTTGTTCTAATAATAATAATATACTGAGCCACAAAAGTTATCCATGAAGTTTTCTAGACGAAATTATCAAGTTATGAGGAACTCTTCATGAATGGTTTGTGATTGGCAGTTTCGTTTGATTGTTCTACCCTTGACTGATAGAAAACTTCCTATTGGCTGTTTTTTTTTACCATTCAGCTCAGAAAGATCAACCATCTGAGCTAGAAATATTCATCATCATTTCCAAGTCTTTCAGGTGTAGACCTATACCTTAATGCAATAAGATAGTTGATGTTTCAAGAAATAGCAGTCGTTTAAGTCAGCAGAACAAGTGTATAATTGTTGTGAGATTTTATATACAATACAGGAAGGCTTCATAGTATAGAAAATGTGAAAATTGAGTACATAATATTATATATTAAAGAAAATTACCTGTATCACGATTAAATAAATCCAAAGAGACAGCATGTGCCAAAGCCATCGATTTACGACGCATACTATGCCTTTCAAAACTATCTTGTTCAGATATAACTGATGATGAACCACTAGCAAACATTGGACTTGGATAATCATGTATATTAGTATGTACAGTAAAAGGTGAATTCTCATTTAAAGTATATGAAGTTAAATGATCCGGACGTACATTCAGTGTTAATCGACATCGTGGAGATTTACAAGCAATCAATGCTGTTGAACGCTGAAGTAAAGCTTCTAGTATAATAAAGAAAAAAATAATAATAACAGACTCATTAAATAAAGCTGTACTTTTTCTGCACTCAGCATGCGGAACAAGATACGGATTTTCAACACCAACGTCAAGTCAGTGCTCTTGTATGGCTCAGAGACTTGGCGCGTCACGAAAGGTATTTCCAATAAACTACAGACATTCATCAACAACTGCCTACGCTGGCTCGATAATGAAGATCAGATGGCCAGAAAAAATAAGCAACAAGGAACTCTGGGAACGAACCAACCAAGAACCTATCACGCAACAAATATGCAGGAAGAAGTGGAGATGGATTGGCCATGCACTGAGAAGGCCGACGGAGGACATCACGCGTCAGGCCCTCGAGTGGAATCCCCATGGTAAGCGACGAGTTGGACGTCCAAGGGTGACATGGAGGAGGTCATGCGAGCAGGAAATGAGAGCTTCTGGGCTGTCGTGGAACCAGGTTCAAAAGATCTCAGAGAACAGAGGTCACTGGAGGTGTGCTACTGAAGCCCTATGTTCCACTAGGAACCCAAGGGACTAATAATAATAATAATAAATAATCTTTATTAAAATTGAATAGTGGTTACACCATTTGATTATATCCATTCAAAGTTTTTTTCAGTGAAATGAACTCATTATTTATCATACAAGAAAACAAAACTCCCCTTTATACTGGTTGCAATTAACCATTAAAGAGGTTGTATACTTCATCAGAAACTCTCTTACAATAGACCTCACTACGTCTACTTCAGCTTGAATAAACAGGTAGTCTTAAAAGGTCTGGTTTCATAGCTTAGTTCATAGATTTCTAGCTATTTTTTTGTGTGCTCAACTTCATCTACTATCGTACAGGTTTTATAAATTATTCATTTGAAGCATAAAATTCCTACTAATCATCAGTTTACACTGTATGATAGGTGAGTTAATGTATCGAGTGTGATAAGGTTGTTATCCATGATTGACTAATTGTAATCGAAATGTTTTCACAAATGAAACCGTCTGTACAATGTAAAATGTAACTTAGTAATCATATGCATATAATGAATGCATATTATGAAAAGAACATTGTAATTACGTAGTACAGGTTAAATCTATGACAAAGTAGAATAATGAATAAGGTATATATGTGTAGTTACCTGATATAAAATGAATCTATGGTTGACAAGGTTTTATGTGATGACCATGACAAAGATAAAGGTTGGACTGTAGAGAATTTTGAATGTGCTCTCGAAAGCAGCTAGCTAAGTGACCTGAGTTCATGAGGTTCAAACCAACGTTATGCGTCCAGAAAAATTACGTCCAACCTTTATCTTTGTCATAGTCATCACATAAAGGTTTGTCTGCCATATCAAGTAATTATACATGTATACCTTATACATTTTTCTACTCTGTCATAGATTCAACCTTTACTATGGAATTACAATCTTATTTTCATTTAATGAATGATAGTTATTGTATCATGGGTTAATGACAGTAAATAGCTGCTTAAGGAATTTAAGTAAATAGAGAGACGGTGCTTGCTCTACTGATAACTGGATAGTTTTTATGAATTTAACTTAAAAATGCATCTTAATGATGGACCGTAGCTAGCAGTGGAATCCAGGATGCGCATTTCGTCCCATTTGGGACTCGTCAGCTGGACCTACCTGCTTCCCAGTGAGTGGTGTTGTTCCCACAGGGATTCGGACTCGGGAGCGATTGCTTCAAATTCCAGGGCGTTATCCACTACACCACCGAGCCACGGTAGCCACTTCTTGTCCGACGGGTATAATTTTGGTATACTGGTTTTTATATGATTCGGTCATTGATTGGACCGAATTGATCAGTCTCTATTGGCATATGGGCTCCTGTGCGGATGCCTCGATATTGCCTGCCTTCTAATTATGTTAATGATGGATGGTGGCTAGCAGTAGAATCCAGGATGCGCATTTCATCCTATTTCGGACTCGTCAATGACGGTATGATATGAAAACAATCATATTAAAAATGCACCATTAATAATTAATGTCTAACAGTATTTAATGTAAGTCAGTAAACCCAGTACAGTTTTATGCATTAGAATATCAGCAAGATTTAACACAGAAATACTTGTAATACTGTCTGGTTTCTGAGAATAAAACAAGTAGGACGCGACGTCGACATGACATCCATGCCTTGAAAGTTACATGCTTAAACTAATGGAGTTTAAAAGTATCTATAAGGATACATTATCAGATGTGACTGCATGTCTATTTGGAGTTAAAAACCAAAACGGATATTCAGTTCGTCTAAAAAACAATAAAGCCAAAGAAAATCTGATATTTGAATCACTGAGTAAAACTAATCAATGGATAACAATTTGTCGTTTGAAGTGATGGGTCTCAGTGGTAGCAACAACACTACTCACTAAGGTGTAAGCATATCTAGCTTACAAAGCGCACGTCTTGAACTCCATTACGACTTACTAAGATAAATACAAAATTAATGAAGCTTAACAACACCTCAGTATGACAATAAAAGCCTTAAATAACTTTCTCCTTTGTTAAGGAGTGAATAACAAGTCATCTTCAAAGATAGATGAATTCATAGTAGGCATACTCTGAACATATTTATTGAACCAAATGACTTGCATACAAAATCAGTGTGAAAAGGAAGGGGAGAATAGTTAATTCTTATAAACTAGCTAAAGTTGACAATGAAAATAAACAACTATATATATTGAAAACGACTACTTATGATTTATATTCAATACTTACAAGCTGATCTACGACCCGAAAAGGCAGGCTTCAGGAAGCACAAATCATATGCGGATCAAATTGCAACGTTATGCCACGCATCATCATAGAACAAAGTATAGAATGGCAGTCAACCCACTACCTCAACTTCATCGACTCTGAGAAGGCCTTTGACAGCGTCGACCGACAAGTAATTTGACAGGCACCTGCTTCAACACTACGGAATACCACAAACTTTTATCAACCTCATTCAACAACTATATGAAGAAGCCACACGCCAGCCAAGTAATTCAAAATAGGAAGCTCAATGGTGCCTTTGAAGTGAAGACAGGAGTAAAACGAGGCTGTCTACTGTCACCCATGATATTCCTGATCGTGTTGTGGTCGACTGGATCATGCAACAAACAGTGAGGAGCGAGAAGAGGGGCATACGCTGGACCGCGGAAAAGAACTTAGAAGATTTGAATTTCGCCCACGACTTCTGTCTAATGTCACACAAACTTGAAGATCTACAGGCGAAAACTAACAAGTTCACAGAAGAGGTGAAGTCAGGCAGCAAAGGAAGACCGGACGTCAAGTGAATATAGAGAAGACAGAGGTAATGAAGATACCCAACCAACACCACCAACACCAACAACAACTACAACAAGCTCCTATCACCATCAATGGGAGAAACATAAAGCAAGTAGTCTCTTTCACCTACACCCACCTAGACAGGCAGCATCGTTTCAACTACAGGTGCAACTGGCACAGACAACCACCTCAAAGCCAGCCACGATCAGAAAAACAGCAAGACAGGCATTCATTAATCTGAAACCAGTGTGCAGATCTTCTGCACTCCACTCAGCATTAAGCGTCAACAACATCCCGATTTTCAACACCAACGTCAGTCAAGTCAATGCTTCTGTATGCCTCAGAGACTTGGCGCGTTACAAAACGCATTCCCAACAGACTACACACATTCATCAACAACTGCCGCCTACACTCACTCGATACTCAAGATCAGATGGCCAGAATAATGACAATCAGTAACAAGAAACTCTGGCTGGCTGGCAACGAACCAACCAACAACCTATCACTCAACAAATATGCACTGGAAGGAAGTGGAGATGGATTGGATTGAGCATACACTGAGAAGTCCGACAGGGGACATCACGTGCCAGGTTAGGCACTCGAGTGGAATGCAGATGGGAAGCGACGAGTTGGGGTCCCAGTTGAGGGTGACATGGAGGAGATCGTGTGAGGAAGGAATGAGAGGTTGTGGGCAGTCGTGGAGCCAGGTTGAAAAGATATCAGAGAAGAGAGTGAAATGGAGACGTGCTAGTGAAGTCCTATGTTCCATTAGGAACCCAAGGGACAAATAATAATAATACTTACGGGCTGATTCACTGAAGTTAATTTGGCGCAAACATGAAGTTTCTTCAAAATCTTTAAGAGTACCAAGTGTGACACTGAAATTAAACATGGGATATCACAGATCGAACATAAAATGAATGAATAATTCAAGTAAAGAATAAAATCATTTATTTATGAAAAAACAATGGGAAAATGAATATTTTTTGCAAGGAAATTTAGTTGACAGCCGGACACATTATTCACTAAAGGAGTTCTTAACCAAAAAAAGTAATTACTGAGATATTCATAAGCAATTACAGATCAAATGTAATCGAATCAGATCAATTTAGATCTCTAAGCATTGGTCTGCAACTATCCACAGTTTAATGATTGGCAGTGAAGTGGTGGAATGTATCGACCAATTCACTTCCTTTCGGATTTACATCAGCTGTTGACGAAATCTCAGCTCGGTTACAGAAGACGCATTTGACCTTCACCAACTTGCATCATGTATAGCGCTGATTGGAGAGATATATGACTATCTATCAAAAGAAAAGTATACTGCACTGTAGTCCGTTCTGTCCTTGTATAAGGCTTTGAGACATAGCGTTTTGAAGTACAAGATATGAAGTAGTTGTACGGTTTCGATCACAGATGTATCGTTGGGTTTCTCGCATTTGGTGGAACCACTATGTGATCAATATTGAGGTCAGGTGAAGGGTACTAGGTAAGGAATGAAAATATGCTGCGCATCCCAAGTTACCGCCTGCCTCAACGTCCCACACTAGGGTAAGTTAGATTCATGTTAGTGATGGATCGTGGTTAGCAGTGGAATCCAGGATGCGCATTTCGTCCTATTTGGGACTCGTCAGCTGGATGTACCTGCTTCCCAGTGAGTGATGTTGTTCCCACCGGGATTCGGACTCAGAAGCGATCGCTCCAAACGCCAGCACGTTACCCACTACAGCATCGAGCCACGATAGCCACTGCTAGCCACGACCTATCATTAACATAATTAGATTGCTGGCAATATTGAGGCACCCGCACAGGAGCCCGTATGCTAATAGAGACTGATCAATTCGGTCCAATCAACGACGGTAGCATATAAAAACCCTTATACTGAAGTTAGATTCAGTTGGAAAAGAGTTCAGGGTAGACCAGACCTGTTGGTCTGGGGTGTGTGAGTAGGTGTGGACTATGTCGTTTGGATCTTTAAGACGAAAGGAATCAGGGGTATAAGACTATTAATGACATGGTCGGAAATCGGTTGCAGTGGCGTACATGTATTCGCTCCGTGACATTTTCAAAAGCATGCGTATTCATATTAACTGTAATATAAATTGTTTACTCTTTCATAAGAATTTATCTTCTTTGATATCACTCCCTTTCTATACACTTGTTCTTTGTGTACTACTGTGAAGTGTGGTGACCTGAGTCGATGCATCTATGTGTGAAGTTTTATGTTGATTGATCAGTTGTTAATCAGTTTGAGTACTTCAAATTATAAGTGAAAGAAAAGATCTCCATCTATAGTACATACTAGGAAACCAACTTGACGAATATCATATCGAAGATCCTAGGACAAATGACTCTCGTCATAATTTTTAACCTTAAGGCTTCATCCACCTTTGGTGTCACAGTATTATACATATCAATCGAAAGATAACTGGAAAGGGGTACTATGTTTCTTCTCTAAGTGAAGACACAAGTCTTTTAGAAAACACAAAACCTCAATGTCAAGTTTGATTGAACTAAGTGATCTTTGTCCGACAACGTATTCTCAAATTAATAGCGAGATATACAAAGAAAGGAACTCCAATGGGATCATCGATATCTGCGTTGATTGTAGAAGTAGTGATCCAAAGACTGGAAGCCTTTATTTTACCTGTGATCAAACTGAAAGTTAACATCCACTAAGTGGACGATACATTTTTCAAGTTTTTATTTATCGTAGACTGACATCGAATGGGGGAAAAAAGGAAACCTGGGAGCACTGGACAGCTGTTTCGTCCTAGTATGGGGTTCCTTAGCAGTGCGCACCCACGAAGCCGCCAGGAGTCCCATATAAGGAAAAAAATAGCTGTCCAGTGCTCCTGGGTTTCCTTCGTTCCTCCAACTGATGTCAGTCTACAATGAATAACAACTTGAAGTATTTCCGAATCCCCACAACTCCCTCGAAATTCGATGATGCTTTTGTCATCATTAAAAAAAGATCTACAAAACGCAATTTGGTCAACAAAGTTTCCAACGAAATCAAATTCACATGGAGAAGGAGTTAAACAACCGACTACCATTCCTGGATTTTTGAGTCAGTAGGACAAATGCTTGGAAATTGGAAACTCAAGTGCATAGGAAGTCAACGCACACTGATCAAATCCTAAACTACAGTAACAACAACCCAATAACGCACAAAATCAGTTGCGTGCAAACTCTACTACAGCGAGAACACACGGTGGTACAACAATTTCACGGAGAAACGAAGAAAACTACTTGATGTCTATCCTAAAGAAGAACGAATACCTACGAAGCTTTATCAAAGATGCCTATCGCATATAACATGAACTACAAAGTCATCGACATAAATCAAAAAACGCATCATCTTACAGTACATACAGAAATATCGGAAATCTCAAGAAGAGACCATTTGGAATTCCTTTCAAACCATATTATGTAGACCAAACGACGCAACAACCTAAGAAGACAAATCTAATATCTTTCACAAAATCAACTGCAATAGCTATAGTCAACACTATATTGGGCAAGTGGTCACCCTCTTTGCCTTCATCTACATCAACACTAATTGGCTATTAAACGTCACACACGACATTTCATCACTCATTTCAATGCAATGGATAACAACTATGGACATGAATTCAATTTTGACAATGTAGAGATTTTGAATGGAGAGAGGAAACATGAAGAATATCAGAGGATTCCTAGAAGCTTAGTATTCAGGTCAGTCAGTCAGCAATCAACAGATGTATAGACATAAACACAAACGATCAACCAATGAGAAGAATGATAAAAGGGAGAAAGGTCAGAGGTTAAGCAGATGACAGCCAATAAAAAAATCTATGCAATGAATGACGCAACAAGCCAAAGAAACAGTCAGTTACAAACCAGTTCATTAGGGTAAGCTAATGAACCCCTCATAGACAAATATTAACAGTTTACTTCATACAGAAGTTAGTGGTGATGATCTTGTCTACTCAATGTATACTGAAATGTCTAAATAACTGATTCGTTCATCATAATGGTTATATGTCTACCTACTGTCGAATAAACTGTGTGCAAGTGGAATTAAAAGCATCTACTTATCAAATAAGGGAGAGCTAGGTCAATGAGTCGCCTAAAAGACTTGTGAGTAACCTTACGCATATAATAAACATCCAGGTCATAGCTATTACGAATGTCTTGAAAGAAGTTCAGCGCCGACTTAGGTTTATTCATTCTTCAGCTTCTCCTGAAGAAGCTGTGGCAAACACGGCGAAACGTTCAGAAAAATCTTGTTTCCAATTTTCTAAACACGTCAGAATTATATTGAAACTTACCTATATAACCTTAGCATATATTAAGTTACAATATAAGGCAATAATGAAAGGGCTTTCTGATTGAGATAGGTATTATCAAAAATAACCGTAATCATCTCAAAATTGACAAGTTTGATATGATTATGAATACTGTCAGAGATTATCAGTTTCTAACTACACACTGTCCACATCAATTCTTCGAATTTACGCATACTCAGCACAATGTAAAAACAAACGCGAACATTCATATTATTTTCATAAAAATCTACATGAATATAGAATGATAGAATACAAACCTACCGTGTGGCATTCATATAACCTGTAGCCATTTTCTTAATTGCTGCAGATAATGGAGGTGGTATATTCGTATGACCTAAAAAAGCAAAAAGAAAGCAACAGGATTACGTTACAGGCGACTCACAAATCTGGATATCCCTTCAAGGGATTGAAACATCTGAGATAGTTTCTTTCTGTTGAGAAACTGATCTGAGCATAGGTGATTGAGTACAGGCGAAGAACTGAACCAACTACCTTCGAGAACATTATTTAGTGAGAACTTTACTGATAAGAAGGTTTCTGGTTCAAATCAGAAAAAAATTGAACTATCATCCAAATTCAACCATCAATAAGAACAGTAAGATTGTGCACACGTGTACAATAGGCAGTGAGCTAGCAATACCACTTGTCTGCCCAAACTTCAGTAGGTGAAACAGGGCTCAGGAGTAGATAGTCATCTCCGTAAACCACGCATTGTCAAGTTACTGCTTTCCATATGAATGAACGCTTTGAAATATGATTTAATGACAGACGGCATTATAAAAACTATACAAATAAGTGAAATAATCATATAGAATACAGAAAATGTTCGTATTTCCACAAACAACATTACAACCTATGGTGAGTAAGATAACACTTAAGGATAACTTTTAGCCTCTCCCACGTAACTCTTGCGCTTATATACAATATACGCGACTTTAAGGCGAAAAATATAATAGCATAAAAGTGAGGGATTACGCAATAGTAAAAATAGCATTCTTAAAAAAGAGATAAAGCTGAGCAATACAGAGCGAATTTAAAGGCCACCTTAGCAACTGATAGCATAACTAATCACGTTCCTTTATTCTATGAAAAATTGTCTTCCTAGCCAAAATACCGCAACCTGATTGGTTGTTTTAGTAGTTGTAAGAGTAACCTTTACAGTCGCCCGCATTACGTATAGGCTAGAAGAAGGCGCGAAAAATATTCTGATTTTTTAAACGATAAATTCATAAAAATTAACTATGGAAATTTTCATTTTTGTAGGATGTAACACCCATCATCATCATTAACATTACATCGAAGAGCATTTTTTTTATGGAGTTGCACAAACCGACGATAATTTAAATACGTTAATAAAAACAGATAAAATATTCATTATTCAAACTAGTTTGCCTAATAGAAATGATCTATTCAGATTAGAGTGGTACACTAGGATACTTGATTGATGTATTAACGCGGCAGGTCATTGTTTGATGTACAGAATGGCTGATAGACGCGCTGTATTCTAATAAAACTGGACATCTTATCACCTGTATATAATAATAATAAAACTAATTAGATTTTAAAACACCCTTCAACACGTTCAATGAGTTAGGGTCATTTATTTACTGGACGCTGATAATTACTAACAATATTTTAAGTCTAATGATATGAATGTTCAATAATATTGAACACATTGCAAGATTAACGTTTAAATAATTCACAAGCACACAGAACACACAACAAGGTCGCCTCGTTAACTAGTTCACTAGTTACCAGCCGGTCCTAAACCCGGAAAAAGAGGGAAGATTGGGCATATGGCTAGCAACCCTTCCGCCAAAAAACCAATCCAAACGCTAAACAAACTTATTCCTCGCTGGAATCGGGGAGACGAAATGACACTACCTGGTGAAAGCCTTCGGGAAGCCAATTGGTCCCTGTGTCTCCTCTCTCTCGAGATCAAAGCAAAAGTAAATATGGGGATATGGAATGTCCACACCATGTTTGAACCCAGCAAGGCAGCCCAGATTGCAAACGATATGAGAAGGCACGGCAATCAAGTTCTAGGAAGTTGCGAGGAAGCAGATCGAATGGAAGTGAACCAGAGAGTGAATAATCTACTCCGACATTGTCACCCAGACGACAACCACGAGCACAGCACACTGAGTTATCGAGTGGCTATCATGATGTCCCCCCCTCTCCCCAAGAGCATCGAAGGCTCTCTCTTATGCAGTGGCAACCAATATCCTCCTCCAGCACCATGATAGCAAGATTCAACTCAAAAGGAGGGAAGGAAGGAAAGTCACAATCATACAATGGCTACACTGCGCACCTACAAGTAATGCAGATGACGAGAAGAAGGAGGAATTCTACAGACAACTGCAATCAATACTGGACAAGGCCCCACCACAGATAGCGTCATCAAAATTCTAATGGGTAACATGAATCCCAAACTGGGAGCGGAAAACACTGGAAGAGAACTTATCATGTGTCGACAAGCCCTCGGTGAAATGAATGAGAATGGAGAACTGTTTGCAAACTTCTGCGAATTCAACGATTTGGTGATTGGGGGCAGTGTGTACAAACACAAGGATATTCACAAGGCAGCGATATGGATTTGATTTCACCACATGAACACACTAAAAATCAGATCGACTTAATCTCAATCTCAAGAACGTGAAGACGCAGCCTAATGGACACTAGATCAATAAGGGAAGCAGATGTAGGTTCACACCACTCACTATCTGGTGCAAGGAACTTGCCTTCAAAATCAAGTTGAAAGCCTTCAAGGAAGTTGGTGATAGATCACAGTTGAAGTGTAACACCCAGAATGGAAACTGAAGGACGAAACTACAAACGACATCACGTTGTCAGCCATCAGGAAAAAACGGGAGATATCGAGGAACATCCCTGAAGAAACCTGTGTGGAAGAACACTGGAAGTCTTTGAAAGAGATGTGGAAAGAAACCTGCATAACCGTATTAGGAAGGAAGAAGAAAGAAGATAAGGAGTGGAATGGATCTCGATGGACACATGGAAGCTGATAGAGGAGGGGGAGTATGATGGTGAAGTAGAAGATAAACCAGTACAGTGCAAGGATGCACAACGACAAGAGGAACTGAGTACAATGTATAAAAGACTACTCTGGGCAAAGAAGTGCCACAAAACTTTGTCAACCTCATTCAACAGCAGCTATCTACTACGCTATATCATGCTACATGCCAAATGATTCACAATGGAAAGCTAACTGATGCCTTTGAAGTGAAGCAAGATAGGGAACAAGAGTAACACAAGGTTGCTGCCTACTATCATTGGTCATCTTCATGATTGTGGTCGACTGGATCATACACAAAACCGTGAGCGGCAACAAGACGGGTATACGCTGGCTACACCGATGAAAAGACCCCACAAGAAGATTTGGATTTCCCCGGTGATGATTTATGTCTAATGTCTTGTCGCACAAGCTCGAAGATCTACAGGTGGAAACCAACAAGTTGGCAGAAGAGGCAGGGCAGCGAAGAAGGGACCTTCTCCAGGTGAGCATAGACAAGACAGAGGTGATGAATATACCCAACCAACAACACCGACGACAACAACAACAACAACAACTAGCACCAATCACCATCAAAGGAAGAAACCTAAATCAAGTTGTCTCTTTCACCTACACCTACCTAGGCAGGGCAGCATCGTTTCAACTACAGGCGGCGGTGGTGACACAGATGAGGATGTCAAACCAGCCAGGATCGGAAAGACATCAAGATAGGCCTTCCTGCATCAATCTAAAATCAACCAGTGTGCAGATCTACACTCCACTCCACTTCACTCAGCATAAACGTGGACAAGATCTGGATTTCCAACACTAATTCAGTCAAGTCAGTCAGTGCTTCTATGTGATGGTTGACAGACTTGGTGCGTTGCGAAAAGCATTTCCAACAAACTGCAGACATACATCACATCAATAGCTACGACCTACGCTCGATATTGAAGACGGAGATCAGATGGCCAGAATAATGAAAATTAACAACAAGAAACTCTGGCCTGGCTTGCAACGAACCAACTAAGAACTGATCGGCCAACAAATTTGCAGTAGAAGAAAGTGGAGATGGACTGGACTAGGCATACACTGAAAAAATCATTCGGAGACATCATGCGCCAGGTCAGGCCGTGGAGTGGAAGCTGAAATGGGTAACGACGAGTTGGCGTCCCAGCTGAGGGTGACGTGTAGGACATTATATTAGGAAGAAATGAAGGTTTGCGGGCAGTCATGGAGTCAAGTTAGAGAAAAAGACTGGAGACGCGAGAGTGCAATGGAGACGTGCTACTGAACCACTATGTTCCACTAGGAACCCAAGGGATAAAAAATAATAATAGAATACATACCTGAACGATAGTATCGACGATATATTGGAAATAAGAGTAATGGACGTCCAGGACTACTCCATGCATGCTTTAAATAGCCTATACACGTTCGAAAACAATCCAACAGAAATTCTATGTCTAAATTTAAATAGAATGCTTGATGATCAAAGAACTGTAAAAACAAAAATGAATGAATGAAACAATTTAGTTATACTCACTATATGATCTGATTAAAGATGTATTAGTATACAAGGTTACATATATGTAAGGTTTTACAACAACAATAGAAAAAAAATTACTCACAAGATCTTGATATCATAGCTCAATGTAGAAATGACAATTCTAAACACAACAAACTTCTGAGCAACAATTAAATAGTCAAACATAAAACCCTACAGGCTGACCTACAGGGTTTACTTAGCCGTGGAATCCAGGTTGGCGCATGTTTCACCCTATTTGGGAATCGTCAGCTGGATGTACATGCTTCCTAGTGGGTCATATTATTTCAACTAAGACTTGAAACCTGGACCGATTATTTCATACACTACAGCACTATTCACTAGACCATTTTAATTAATTGGCTTTAAGATTGTCATCATAGATACACTTAGACACGTTTAATCCACAGAGTCATACTGTTTGAAGGAAATGAACACATCTGGCTGATTGGGTAGAAGACAATTATCAGCGACAAGTTATAGCAATACAGCGAAAGTTATTTCAAGTCCTTGTAGAGTATATGCATTTGTAGGATAAAGATTTTTATACGGTTAGTAAAGTTATCTTAGAACTCTGGCTTTGAAAGCATTAACAAATCTTGGGGTATATCATTCCGGTGGTGTTTACCCTGACAATTTCTTGCCCAAACTAAAGCTAATGGAGAAAGTAGAGTGATAGTTAACTGACCAAATAGCACTGAGGAATGGATAGTTCTTCCCAGCTGATATGTTTTGGTAAATTGCTAATCTCTGGTGTTGCACAATAGATCTGGGAACAGACACTAGCCTGGCTTGGGAGAAACCATCTGGTTGGCATAGATTGGAATAAAAACTAGTGTCCATCATACTGTAATTTTCTCGTTAGGAGGAAGGAGGGCTGCAGTGTTGAATAGATGAGCAAAATACGTAATTCTGTCTAATGTCTTGTCGCATAAGCTCGAAGATCTACAGGTGAAAACCAACAAGTTGGCAGAAGAGACAAGGCAGCGAAAAGGAACTTCCTTCAGGTGAACACAGGCAAGACAGAGGTAATGAACATACCCAACCAACAACACCGACACAACAACAACAACTAGCACCAATCACCATCAACAGGATAAACCTACAGGGAGTTGTCTCCTTCACCTACACCTACTTAGGCAGGCAGCATCGTTTCAACTACAGGCGGCAGCAGCGGCACACAGATGAGGATGTCAAACTAGCCAGGAACGGAAAGACATCAAGATAGGCCTTCCTGCATCATCTCAAATCAATCAGCAACAGATCTACTCCACTCCTCAGCATAAACGTGAACAAGATACGGATTTTCAACACTAATTCAGTCAAGTCAGTCAGTGCTTCTATGTGATAGTTGAGAGACTTGGTGCGTTGCGAAAAGCACTTCCAACAAACTGCAGACATACATCACATCAGCAGCTGCCGCCTACGCTGGCTCAATACTGAAGGTCAGATGGCCAGAATAATAAGAATAAGCAAGAAGGAACTCTGGCTGGCTGGCAACGAACAAACCAACAACCCATCGCCCAACAAATATGCAGTAGAAGAAAGTGGAGATCGATTGGACGTACACTGAGAAAACCATTCGGAGACATCACACGCCAGGTCAGGCCAGGCCGTCGAGTGGGATCCAAATGTGAAACGACGAGTTGGGCGTCCCAGTTGAGGATGACGTGGAGAAGATCATGTGAAGAAGAAATGAAAGGTTGCGGGGAGTCATGCAGTCAGGTTAAAGAAAAAAGACTGGAGAGACGAGAGTGAAATGGAGACATGTTACTGAAGCCCTTTGTTCCACTAGGAACCCGAGGGAAAAATAGTAACAACTATATACACTGGTATTTTTGTACAACGTTCAACACAGATTTCCACTGTAAATCAATCTAAGCGAGTCAGACTGAGTCATGATGATTCCCGATAATCCCATCATTGTTGACAATTATTGGACGCATCCAGCTTTTAACTAGAACTCTGTGTGTGTGTGTCGAAAATGCTGTCAAATCACATGATACATTTATTATTTCAACGTAATCTTTAGCCAGGATTTACAATCCAATTATTGGTTATGTACATGTGTCAACTATAACCTTAGATGAAAATTTCAAGAACCTTAAAGCAAAAGCATAAGACGTTAATCCATACAGGTCAATTGTATTTAACACACATCTAATCAATATATCAACATAAATATTAATTATGTAATAAGGCATTGGTGAATAAAGAAATAGAATGTTTTTCGCTTATGTACATGACAAAAACCTATAAACATCCTTATTTAGGTAGGGTAGTGTCTGTCTCGGCATGCGGAGCACATATCCAAGTCATCTCAGTCGACTAAGGTTCACAAACTCATCAGCCGACTTGCCTGTCTTGCCTAGTATCCTCCACCTAACTTGAACATCGTTGACATGGTGATTCCACCAAACACGAGCAATTATACGAAAAGATTTATGGTGGAAACTCCATAATGGCTTCATGTCTTGTACTTTCAACGGCTCTATCTCATAGTTGTACAACAGGACAGAATGGACTGCAGCGCAGTATATTCGTCTTTTGAAGGATGGTCGAATAATTCATCATTTGGCGTTATATATGACACAAGTTGCCAAATGCCAAACGGACCTTCCGTATGCGAGCTGAGATTTCATCAGCAACCACCCAGTCCGCCCTGATGCAACTGCCTGATTAAATGAAGTGGTCAATGCATTCTACCACTTCACTCACTATCACTGAACTCGGAGTACTCCTAGCAGACCAGTCCTGAAGCATCATCCTAAATTTGATAGATGGGACTAAGACAAGGCTATTTAAAATTGATCTTAATGTAATCGAGTAACTAGCGATTTTAAAGGAAGAAAGGTTGCGTGCGTGCACGTCGTGAAATAAAAGGCCTCCAGAGAATATCGCATTATCCCACCTAAACACATTTTGGCTCCATTTTGAGTAAGTTTTCAAAATGACGAAAGGACTGTATTCTTTTTAGGTTAAATTATCATTTAAACCATATGTACGGTGTTGCTGTGCACGGAAATCTTGCAGTGGCTCAGAAAAATACAATCTGCTTCTAAAGACAACTAACATCATGAAGTAATAACTTTGAGCTAAATAAAAACCTTCTTATTTATACAATAGAACGAATAAGTATGGATGCATACCGGTTTTGAAAATGACATCATACACTATCTAATGCGAAAGCTTTGCATAACATGTTTACTGAAGTTCTGTGAACCAAGTAAACTATACGCAATGGTTTCATGACCTGGAATACCTTCGTTTAATTATCTGAAGGAAAAATCATGAAGAAGGTTAAACACCCCACGTCAGTGAAAGTCAACGTCTGTTCAGTTCAAAAATTGAAGTTTTTAAACAGATTAAAAGAATGATCATCTGAACAGAAACTGTGCATCAGGACTGAATTGCTCGACCTATGTTGGCAGATGAGCTGCTATGCAGATACCTCGATGCCGCTGGATAGTCGTAACAACTACTTATACCCGTTGCTACGTTGTCCCAAACGCCTAGTTGATAACCCTTTGGCGTTTGAAGCCATGGGTACTGGGTTCGACTCTCTGTAAGAACAACATCATTCACTGAGGTGCAGGTACATCCAACTGACGAGTCCAAATAGGACGAAACGCGCGTTTGATTCATCTACTAATCACTAAGATCAATGTGTACTATTTTCTTATTAAATAATATTCAGTACATTACATCTGGTTTCATACTGGTTACTGACAATTTCTGGCCAATAAATATCAGTTTGAACGTTTGATGACAAGCACCCACAAAGTAGAAGTTTATATACAAAAAGTTATTGGACTCAACCTATTATGTGGAGTCATGAAATATTCTCTGAATGCCGAAATCTATGTTAGTTGAACGTCGGGGTTGAACCAATGACAAGATAGTTGAAAGTGAAAAACGAAGTTGATTGCTTTTTCTTATGCCATATACTATGCAAAATCAAATGCCAGAATATGATGATGGTTGTTTTCAGTCCTAAGGCAAAATAACCAACTAATTAACACTGTCTCTTTTAGTCCTTAGATCTTCTTTGAAGTTATGAGGATATATTTGTCATTCTTCTGGAGTATCGTTACAAATATTTTACTCTTGGAGATATAAACACAAACTTTACGATTTTTCAGAAAGCAAATTTCTTTTGATACTGGGTGATGATTGAAGGTGAAATGAAAATTTGGACCGCGGTCGGATGCGAACCAGAGACCACCGGATTTTTAGCCCAGTGCTTTACCAATTGAGCTGTGAAGCTCAACTGCTGACCAGATTTTATTTCACTCCAATCACCAAGGGTTTTGCCCGATTATTATGTGAAATTCGTGACTAGATATCGAGAAAAATCAAAACCAACTCAACAACCTGTTGAATTTCGTCCAGAAGGCAATGAACATCGCTTATTGCATGATGGCTGAGGATACTACCTCCTATCTTCTCAAACCTCGGTAGTCGGGTTCGAACCGTTGGCATATCGGTTGGAAATATCAAGTGTCTGGATCAATGAGTCACGGCATACAATCCAACCAAATAATAAATGACTGATTTAATCAAGTTTTTGTTTCAAGATTTGCGAAATCCTCTTGCACAAAATTTACACGTATTATCTTTCCGTAATCAGATTTAGCCTGGTTTTAGTTGATATATGAATCAATACAGTCGACCACTTTCGACATCAGTAGTATATGTATTTTATATAAACATATGTATACTTCTTGGATTGAGTAAAGCTAGTGGGGAGAATTTCTAACCCGTAACTGAATACTTGGTAGTTTAATAGTAATAATAATAATAATTCACTTTATTCCAAACAATTTGTGGTGCAGTCTGGAATTCTCAGCATGATATATTCCAACAACAACAGAATATAGGTATATACATACTCTATTACAACATTTCGAATTGTGTTATAAAAATTTAAGTAACGCAAAAGAAATATTAGAAA